CCAGCAGTCGGGGCTGGCTGTGTGCACTCCTGCTTACTTTCTGGCTCTGCCATCTTGAGCACGCCGAGCACAGCGTGCGTTTCCTCAATTTTCTGAAATGGGAACTGTCAGCGTGGTGAAGTCAAACTCTATTGAACTAAACCTGCCTAGAGCTTATTGCAGCCCTTGGATGTAAAGAGCGTTGCTTAAGCAACCGTGTAATATAGGATCAATTCCGCAGCCATCCCCAGGGGACTCCTTTTAGGTAGCTGTTACTTTCCTTGTAGTATTTATCATTTTAAAGATGATCACACATTGTTTATCTTCACCATGGGGAAAACACTGAACAGAGACGAGTTTTATTTGGAGCTTGTAGTATAAATGAGATTGATAGGTTGGGGTTTTTTTCCATGTTTTGAGCTTCACAGCTGCTCTCAGTGGACAAACATCTGAGGCGAAGATTGTGCAAAGGGGGTGGCGTATACAGAGGAAAACTCATTTCTTCTCAGTGTTTGATATTGCTAAAGAAATAAGCAATAACATGATGCAAAGTTCATATGAGGCTGATGGATTGGCAATTCCTGCTCAGGACTGTGCAGCCCGCGGTGGAGAGAGCTGAGAGCTTCGCTCCATGCAGGGCCCCGGGGGAAAGGAGCCCCCCGACTCTCTGTAGGACGTTGGTCTGCAGCAAAACTTCCCTGGGAGCTTGCTGCTGTTGTGGGGGAAGGGGAGTGTCAACACTGTCAGCAAACATTTGTCAAGTTTGCTGATTTCTGATAAATATACTTTCCCTTGTTGAAAAACACTTCTGCCGCATACAAAACAATGGCGTTGGAGTCAGTCGTAGGGTGTGTTGCATTGTCCTCCAGTGCTTCGCGGTGTAGGGCTGAACTTCAGTTTGGGGAGATGGATCAAAAACATGATGTTGTTTTGGGGTTTTTTTCCTAGGGACACAAACTTATTCAACTTCTGTTTGCAAAAATACTGTCTAAGGCTTGTAGACAGTGACATAATGAGATGTCATGCCTGGAAGCTGGATTTAGAAGAACACTGAGATAGGATGCAGGCTTCCACTAATAGGCATTAATTGCTACACTTTATTGGAGGAGGAAAAAGCCTAGGCATTGTTTGGGTCTTGGCTTCGGAGGGGAAAAAATCTGTGTGCACATAGGAGGAAAAGTGAAGTGATCGTCGCCTGTGCTGAGCTTGGAGTCGAGAGGTGGTTGTGTGAAAAACTCAGTGGCAGTTTAGGCTTTTTAGTATGCATTTAAACATGTCCTCCTAGCTGGGAGATGACCGGTGTTTCAGGTTGTCATTTAGCCTTTGTGGTCCGAGGAATGAGAGAAATTGGACCATGTGGGGCTTTTTTGTTACTGCACAAGGTACTTTGGACGTACTAGTATGTGTTGGTGGAATATGGTATGCGCAACTGTAGAAAAATCCTGGGATTTCAGTGCCGTCGTGCGAGGAGCAGATAAGAGCGATTCGGAAGGCTGGGGGCTGGCGAGGGAGGAGGTGTTTGACACTCGGGGCTGTCTCCCGTGACTCAGCAGTCCTCCTCCTAAAACGCCATCCCAACTGCCGCCCCACGGCCGCAGAGTCCCCATCGGCTCCCTGCCACCCTAAGCCCTCATCGACCGCCTCCTTGCCTTCCCTAGGTGCAGAGGACTGGTCTCTTCTTTTTACAAAGAGTTTTTGGAGCTGTTCGTTCTCAAAGGAGCGGTGAACACAAGTTTTGGTTAGTTGTAATTGTGCCTTTTATACTGTTTTCCTTCTCGGCTCACCGGCCGCATACCTTTCCATCCTGTAAGGCAGCCCACACGTGCAGCACTAGTGGGATGCCAGAGTGTCTCCCTGTTTCAAATACTCTGCTGTCTCATGCTGTAGTCCTTATCTAGAATATGCAGAGCTCTTGCCCTGCATAATCGTTATACTAAATGGTATTTTTTTTATCTTGGTTGAAAGAGTAGGTATTGCCCAATGTCTGTAGTGAAGTAATCCCCACCTACTTGCTACCCCTAACGCCCGAACATCTCTGACTTTCAAAGTTGGGTGCTGGAGTAAGGCTAGCCTGATTTCTACCCCGTCGGCAGAGAGGAGGGGAACTCCGCTGCCCTCATCACGGCAATATTAAAATGTGCTGAAAACTTAACGTTGCAAACCTGGAATGCAGTATCAGGGCAGCTCAACTGCTCTGCCTGTCTGTGTGACAGATAATCGAGTTAGGGCACAGGAGGAGGGAAGAAATTTATTGGTGAAGCAATCCTAAAAATTATGCATAAAGGTTTTTCATCAGAGAAATTTATTTGGTCGGATTACAGCTTATCATGAATGTGGGTTTTTTCGATATTTGAGCACATTAAATTAAAAAATAAAAAGACCATTCACAAACTTGAAATAATGGATGAAAACTCCCAAGTTTGGACATCAGCTTTCCCTCTGAGTTGCCCTCGTAGGCTTTGGTACTGTGCCCCGAAATACTCTCCATCCCGCAGCCCCCTCTGCAGCTACGTATCTGGGGATACCGTGAGGAAGAAGTATTGAGTGAACTTTACCTTGAGGATTGTCTGGACGGGGCCACTCGGGACAGCTGACACTGCACAATAAGAGACGAGATATTAAAAAAAAAAATGTCTAAAACCTGGTGTGGATGCTTGGCTTAATCTAATGTGAATAGAGTGCACTTTTATTCCCCACTGAGCTGCTGGATTCACGCGCCTGGATAATTTGGACTAGCATTTCCGTGTGTGTGATTTTTTTTTTCATAGGAAAATTGTGCTTTAATGACCGCGGTGTCACTAATGGGGCATTTAACGGTGACTACGTGTGCCATATCTCTTGGGCAGCGGACGGGCTATTCGGTTGGTGTGGTTGGCTTTTTTGAGTTGTTTTGTTTGAGTCCCGGAGGTCGTGTGTTTCCTCTGGCTCCGAGGGAGTTAACTAACTGTAATCTGCAAGAAGGCTGGCACGGATCACGCACTGTGCACAAACAAGGGTGTTTTGTCGTGGCGTGTCACGCGAAAGGAGCCATGGTTATTGCCACCAAGTCCTAAACAGTCGCAGGGAATTAGCGTTTCTCAGAGGTGTGAAGAAAGCTGACTGTAGGGAAACCCCATTCCTGAACTTCTTGAAGAATTAATGCAGGGTGGTGTAAAACTCTTAAAACTAGATACTTTTTTCCAAAATTGTAAACTACGCTCTCCGGATCGGTGTTCATCGGTTCGGTGTGGGACCGTGGGCTGCAATTCATCGCTGTCCCACCAGGGTGGTGGAGCCAAGCTGAGCCGCTCCCCAAGGATTCAGTCCACCGTACGCACGTGGACCGAATGGTCGCGGTAGCTTTTTCAAATTGATAAATGGTTGCAAGGATTTTGGAGATTTGGAGGAAATGGTATTTTGTCCTTGGGCTGAAGATGATACACGTAAACAGGCACCTTCCTGTATGTAGACTTTGCCAACTGATTTTAAATAACTGAAAGTGGATTTGTGATGAGAAATGACAGGTACTGACAAATGCTTAACCGTAGTTCATATGCTTATAATAGTTTATGGTTAATAATGGTTTATATTCATCTTAGGTTTTTGAGGATTTTCTGTGTAGAGCTTAAGTCTTTGGGTTTTGGCTTTCTCAGAAACAAAACTGTATGTTGAACCACTGTCTGGCACTTGGCAAAGTTCTCTAATTTCTCTAATGTAGTGAAGCTGTCAGGGCAACATTTTCCATGAGATTGTTACTTTAAAAAAAAATAAAAAAAATTTGGAGCTCTGGAATATGGTACAAGAGAAGAGAATTTTTGCAGAGGGTCCCTCTCTGTGTTCCTTCTAACACTGTCTTATCTGATGGCCATCTCGGCAGCAGAGCATCAAAAACTTCTGTGTGCTTTTGGCGTGGAATTGCTGTGCTTGTGTATAAGAAAGCGTTCAGCTGTGCGCTGATGTGGTGCGTGAATCCATCGGCTGACCCTGTTGGTAACTCGGCTTTTGCATAACAATCTCTCCTCCAAAAATGAATTAGGCAACTGATGCTATCCTTCTTTTTACAAATGCACAAACGTTATGGTATGCTTGTAATGATTTACCCCTGGAAACCTAGAATGTAGCCCTAAAGCAGTTGAAAATACCTGCTTATTAATCTAGCAGTAAGAACCTGAGGGAATATATATATCCATCTGTGAAGCCACTTTTTAACTAGGACACCTAAGATCTCACCGGGGGAAACCATCTGCCTGGATCACAGCTTATGGCAAATATTTTCCAGTTGTTTGAGCACACAGAATCTGCCTGGTAGTTTTATTTCCCTTCGAACGCGTTCACAAAGATGCCGCTCAAAGGCATCCATCCCATTCTTCATTTGCCTTGTTCTGCTTTAGGTATTTTTGGCATGTGTAGTGTAGAAGATGTAACGTGAGGTCCTTCCAGCATCCTGGGATGCTGAAGTCTGTTACGGTGCCCTGCAAAGGGAATATAAACCAAGTTTGTGAGGGATTTGACACTGTATAACATAAAAGCTAGATGTCAGAATGTTTTTTGCTATTTAAAATGGGCAGGTGAGGATTATCGCCATTATAGCACAAGGTGTAAGAGGTTTTCCAGACCTCATCAGCCACATGGTGCGGTGCGTTCAGGCTGGTTGAGCGCTGACCCTGGGGGTGGGTGCCCGAGTTCAGGTAAAAAAGGTAAAAGTGGGGAGGCAACATGGTACTTTGTCAAGTTTAAGAGGTAGCTGTGAAATTTCTGAACAAGCAATTTAGTAGGTTAAATGCGTTTAGTTGATGGAAGAACAAACTGCGAGTTGGGCATTTTCCTTCCTTTGCACAAACAGTAGAGTTTTATATATGTGTGTATGTATACGTACATATAACCTGGGTTAAACTACTTGCATAACTAAACTGTTAAACCTGTTGTTTCTAATTGATTTGTTTTCCTGTGTTCCAGAGCCTAGCCCAGCTAGAGAACCTGTGCAAGCAGCTGTATGAGACTACAGACACTGCGACACGGCTCCAGGCAGAGAAAGCCTTGGTTGAGTTCACCAACAGTCCAGACTGCCTGAGCAAGTGCCAGCTTCTTCTAGAAAGAGGGAGTGTATGTAAAACAATATAATTGTCCCAAATGTATCTTGGTATTTTGGGCATTGATAAGGGAAATAGCCCCAAGGTCTGGTGTGCAGTGTTTATGTTCCATACCCAGCAAGCTCTCGTATATCTCAATTTGTGGGCAGCCTATGCCAAAAAAAGCATTGGCTGTGATGGCTAATTATGCTGCTGCAGTGGTTACTACAAACGGTTGTCAATTCTAATGTCTTGTGGGCCGTGCTGCGTTCTTCGCAGGCTACCACCCAGACGTGTCGAGCTTGAAGTTGGAAACATTATCATGGCAGTGGTATTTCATGGACTGTGGGAACCACTGCCTTCTCTATAGGCTTTGGGGAGAAAATGGTGTGCGCACAGGGGTTCGTAGGGGATAAAACCAGCAGTGTTTCTTCTGGAATGTTTCCTTGGAAAACTGCCCCTGCTATAGTGTTGTCTTAATAAGCCAGAGGTTTAAAACAGGGAAAATTAGATCATGTGCTTTAGAATTAGTGTTACAGAAAGGATGTAAAATATGCCAGCAGTAAATCCTGCCTGACTTTTTTAGCCTTCTTTTTAAGTGGCCGTTTGGTTTTTACTTCGTATCAGCACAAATAATGTTTAAAATGGCTTTGCCACATGATCTTGCAAGATTTGACTTTTGGCGGAATGTGCATCCAGCTTTCATATCTATCAGATTGGAGCCTTGTTCACAAAAATAGGAAACATTAAACAGCCTGTTGTGAAGAGTAAGTCCTCCAGGAGGAGGAGGTGGTGAAGGGAGGGGGGGGAAGAGTGACACTTAACAGGCTTAGCAAACTTAAACAAAGCAAATTATTTAACTTTTTGTTAAATTTGAAGTCCAGTGAATTCAAAACAAACTGATTTGAAGCTCTTCTGATGGGAACTAGTGACTGGTTTACCTGAGGACAAATAATTTTTTTTTTTTTTTAAGGAAAGTTCCTAAAGCTCAGTTTCATTCTCTGCGTGTGATCCATTGCCTCTTTGACCCTTGCCAGAGGGTTGTGGGGTTTTTTTCTTCAGTCTGGGATCTGACTCACTTTGTACCTGACTGTCCTTGGGAATGTTGCAATAAATAGGCTTCCTGCATCTTGGATACTAAGCTTTCTACAGTACTATATATTACAGAAATTAGCATGCAAAATGCTTGTCATTTCCCTGGCTGTAATTTATGGAATCAGGTGCAGCCAGGGGTTTTAGGTGGTTGAATGCCATCATTTGTGTCCCTGAATTAGATTAGATTACAGTTCAGTGGTCTGTGTGCTGTTCTGTAAGAAGTAAATTTTAACCTGTGTTTAGTAATCAAGTGGAAGTTGTAAGTTCTTCTTAACGTATAGTAACGTACTCCTACAGCTCAGAGGGCTAATTGTCTTTTTCAGGCATGGCGTTTAAGGTAACTTCATGCAGTTTGACTATGTTTGCAGTTTTACTCCTGCCTTCAGTGGCGGTTTTGTTGTCTTCCGCTTTTTAAAAGCTTTTCCTTTCTTTCTTAAACACTTTCTTCAAGTATTTGGTTAACTTTAGTGTCTATAAAAACATAGAATAAATGCTAGGTAGGGTATTTAGACTTACCAATTCAATTAATGCTTTAAACTCAAATTTCCAGAGAGCAATTAGCTTAAAATCCAGCATTGCTGCTTGATCTTCTGAAGTGTGTGGTAAACTTCTGTTTGTGTTTTGGTTTTTTTTGTTGTTGTTTTTTTCTTTAGTCATCCTACTCCCAGTTATTGGCAGCTACATGCCTTACAAAACTCGTGTCACGCACAAACAACCCTTTACCATTGGAACAACGAATAGATATTCGTAAGTACAAGACTTAATTTTTCTAACCAAACTAACGTGAATGTTTGTCGTGTGGACTTTCATCCACGGGTGGGAGGTTTTCTGCAAGCTACTGTGCTTTACAGTTTGGGCATCCTAAGGTATAGGATGCCCAAAAGGCAAAGAAACATTTCTCTTAGATGGCATCTTCGCCTATATCATTAGCTAACAGAGTTCAAGGCTAAATATATAGGCTATATATATCAGTTTCTTTTGGAGTATAAAATACGCATGGTGCTTGCCTCTTCTAAGGACATGCTTTCAAAACTGAAAATCCTTTATGGGTCTCTGAAATATCATTTAGAGTATTTCCTAAGGGAGCAGTCTGTTTGTCACAGTGCTCTTTCCTGGAGAATGGCTGATGCTCCTTTCCTCCGAGGAAGGAGTCTGAATGCCGTTCAGTCTGCTTTCTTTTTTACAAATGATGTGGTAGATGATCATCCCCGAGGAGAGGTCTTGAAATGTTTTCAGCTTTTCTTGCTATTTACATGTGCTTACAGAGGATTGGACTTAATCTGATAATACAAAACAAGTTAGGCTTGTGGGGAGGAGCTCTCGCCTGTCTCTAACCACTTTCCAGATCTGTTCCACGGCTTTAGTATGTTAAAGGCACAAGTAAAAGGTCAATGTTTGTATCTAACCCACTACTGTGCTGATTTTTTTTTTAGCAGCTTTCAAAAAGATGCTTTTTCTTATCAGTGTTACCATCTCAATTCCATCTGCCAAGGTTTTGTCTACAGATACACCTTCTCTCTCTCTGTTTCAGGGAACTATGTGCTCAACTACCTTGCCACTAGGCCGAAGTTGGCAACGTTTGTCACACAAGCGCTAATCCAGTTATATGCCAGGATCACAAAGTTGGGCTGGTTTGACTGTCAGAAGGATGAATATGTCTTCAGGAATGTGATCACAGATGTCACAAGGTTTTTACAGGTCAGACTTTTTGTAAGATGAATACACACCTTGTGGGATTTGAAAGTCTGTGCATTTTCAGTTATTGTTTTGCACCTTAGTGTCCTCTGTCCAGTCTTTCATCTGTCCATTTGTTGATTGAATAGTGACCGCCGAGGCTATGAGCAGCTGACGACTGGCAGGACAGGTCAGTTTTTATAATTTAAAGTTTGGTGGAGCAGGGATTTATTTCTGGAAACTGCCACCATTAGTATTCAATGGTAAGACACGTCTTTTAGTGTTCCAGCTGCACAATTCTTCTTTCAAGCTATCAAGCTTAAATACACCATGTTGATTAGTGCAAAATGGTAAACGTGGGCTTATTGTCTGTGAGGGAAATGTGCCATGCTTGATTTGCTTTCATTCACTGCAAAGGTGATATATCCATGGAAGTCACGTTTGATATTTAGCTGAGTTATCATAACAAAATGTAGCTTAAAACTAGCGTGTTACACAAATGTTATTCTTAATTTTCTTTAGAAGTCCTGACTGTTTCATGCTGTCACCACAGTGTAGGGTTTCATTCCCAACCCAAAAGACTCTGTAGGTTTAAGGTTGCATTTTTATCAACAAGCTGTCTCCAAACTGAAACTTCCTCCCAGAGAGATCAGTAAAACCTGTAACACTATGAATACTGATTTATTTGCTCTGAAATTTGTCCCCAAATCAAAAGTTGGAGGAAGACAGTAGAGGAGATCAAAAAGACCATAAATTCTTCCCAGTGTGGAAAAGGAGATGTAATGTGTACAAGGCTTTAATTCTGGAGTGGGGGAGTGTGGGCATTCAGAAAATAGGCTAACTGCTATTATTTCAGACATTTACAGATGTCTGCAGTGAAGTAGGATCTAGAAGGTGTTAAGTAATTTAAAGATCATGTTCCTTTCTGGGCTGGTACCTGTGAACTATCTGGGACATAGTTACATAGCTGAAATTATCAGAGCTAGATTCCTCACTCTCCCAGCTCATGACGTGGGGAATGTGTGCTTTTTAATCAGGAACCTAATTAAATGGTGTGAATATCTACTTGCTGTGTTCAGTTTGAGACGGTCTGTTCCTCTTTGCTCAAGTTACCTGTTCTGGCTGCTAAAGTGTACAGGAAGCTGCACGTTTTTAAAGACATGGTTTGGCAAGATTTTCCAGTGGCTTCTGTCTAGATATTACCATGTAAATACTGAGACTGTCATCAAGACATGGCTCCAGTAAAGAAGTGGCCAAGGTCCCAAGCCTAAATATGCTTGAACTTCTCTATTGCAGATGAGTTCAGTCGTCTTAAGCTGGAGATCAGGGCAATTTGTGCAGAAGGCGCAAAGCAAGGTGGAGCTAGGAAAGGAAACATCATTTATTAGTTACAGAACAGAAACTGGGGCAAAGGAACAATACAGGTTGTTTGTCTTAAATCATTTGATAAATGGATTACCGTTTCTAGTGAAGAGGTATCTGTGACAGACTTGTTTCACAATTGGCCCCTTGTTGGCAGTCTCAAGTGCAGCCAGAGGCTGAACAGGCTGTGAAGAATGGACTCCCTTCACTGGGAGATAGGCTGTCCTTCTTGGCAGGAGGGTTGTGGGGTGGGTGTGTGGAGAAACTTGGTCGGCTGCTACTCATGTTGTTCAAGGTCTGCAATTTAAAAAGGGGGCAGGGGGGAAAGCTTATTTCCCAGAGTTTTCATCTGGCAACTTTAATACTCATCCTAATGTTGCAGAAATTTCTGCACGTTTTACCACAGCCTCTGTTAAAATTAAACAAACTGATTAAAAAAAAAAAAACCTAAATAAATCTTTTCAGAGTTAGGGCATAACACAAATGTTGATTAAACTGTTAAATAAAAGGTGCCTATTTTTATTAGCTCATGTTACTGAACTCTTTAGAACCATTTGCATTGTTAACAACATCAAGTACTTTAAAAGCACGTTTTACATTCTCTGTTTGGTATTGCTCATGGGCTTTTATCCAGTCACAATACTACGAAGATAAAGCATTTCTAGACAAACATGTCTAGAAAATTTTCCAAGCAGAAAGGTCTTTGAATGACAGTGAAGCTTAATGAAAACATCCCGGCACTGCTAACTGCTTTCCCTGTCCCCCTTTCCTTCCTCAGGATAGTGTAGAGCACTGCATCATAGGAGTGACAATCCTGTCCCAACTAACTAATGAAATTAATCAAGTAAGTGCTACAGCCTTCCTCAGTGAAGTAAGTGTCCAATTTTCTCATTCATATTGTTGTGTCCTGCTGTGTGTCTGTGCATTGTTTGGGGGGTTTTGTTTGGGTTTTTTGGGTGGCGAGGGGGTGTTCTGTGGTGGGTGTTTTGGTTTTTTGTTTGTTTTTTTGTTGTTGTTTTTACACAGTCACTTTTTTGTTTTTTTGTTTGTTTTGTTGTTGTTGTTGTTTTTACGCAGTCACTTACTGTTGTGGTAAGATGCTGAAACCTCCTGTCCTGAGGAATTGTTTTGTTTCACTGGCATCTTCCATCTTCTCTCATATTTTGATGTAATCTTCTGAGATGAAAAAGGAAAGAGCAATGCTAAGCAACTAGCCAAGCCTACCTAGTGAGGACAAAGCCCCGAGCATGAGGACATCCCTAGCACCTTCTGTTGTCGGTCCCTGTGCATTGTTTCAGCTTACAGCATTCTTGTGCCAAGAAGTGAATGGAGCGTGCCCTCCTCCGTATTGACCAGGGAGGTGAAACAAAGAGGATTTGTCAAATTGTGCAGATTTTTATAGCGTCCTTTTCATTCAGTACTAAATTTCATAGCGTTCCCAGCAGGTAGTTCTCAAATTCTGCCAGTTTACTGGGGCTGAGTTCCTTACACCCCTGGCCCTGGGTGACTGGCAGAAGAAGGACTGGGCATGCCGAGTCCGTGGTGCTCTGGCATGGCACCCGGTCATGCCAGCTGCAGCAAGTCTTTCCAGGTTAGTTAGTTCGGTGGTTTGTAGAGCCCTCTAACGTTATGCGGCCTCTCGGTATTTATGTTGAAAGCTGGAACAAGCGGCTTTACTTTGTGCTGTCTGTGCAGTCAGGCAGACTTTGCTGTAGCACCATTGATGGCTACCACTGTCCTAAGACAGCGTGAGGGTTGCCATGTGTATAAATGTCTCCGATCTTGCTAAGAGGACCAGGTGTAACTAAGTTTATTTGATTTTAATATCTTACTAAGGAAACTAACCTTTCATTTTCGCTGGTATATTGACTAATCCAGGCATTGGAACGGAGAGATCCTTGAGTGGGATTTGAACGATGATTACAAATTGTTTTCAGAACTGGAAATGGAGGAGGAGGTTTTGTCCTGGCCAGGGCAAAGCATTGATTTCTTCTGCTGAACTTCCCAAGCCCTGCACTGTAATCTGAATGGCTTCTGCATCCATTTCAGACACCAAATTCACTTTCATTCTTCAAGCCTGGCCTGATCAGTAAATCCTAACCCATAGCTCTCCTCCTAACTTTTAAGCCATGTCTTGTTACCGTTACCATTTCCTTGCCCAGACTTTTGTACAATGCTAACTCCGTCTCTGCAGAGGGACAGTCCTTCACTTCCTTGCATCAAGGATGAAAGCAAGTCTGTTTACCTCTATAAATTAGTATGTGTCTGTCAGCATCTTTGTACAGGGCTTCTGCTTGCAGGAGAATGGTCAGCACAGAAACTGTCACCTATCCCAGTTCCAGAGTCTCTACAGGTTGATACTAAAATAAGCAATGAAGTTAAAGACTTTGATCAAAAATCTCTTCCCGATACCTTGGATATTAAATCTGCCACAGTTTACTACTCATTCCTAAATGTGCTTTGTGCCAGCAACTGCACAGGGCTGGATTCAGTGACTCATCTTGGAAAGTCTAAAACTGCCATTACTTGCAAAATAATAAATCTGCCAACATGCCCACTCATCAGAGTGGGGTCACGTACGTGTACATAGCAAAAAAACCTGCCCAAAAAAACCCTTGTGGGGCTTCTCTTCAGGCTTTTTTTGGTAACTATTTAAATTTCCAACTACATTGCATGAGAGCCGAATTTTCTAGAGCTCTGTTTACTAAAGCTTTTGTTCCAAAAGCTCACAGTACAAATAAAATAAAGTGCTAGTAATTGTTTTGAAGTATCAGTTTTCATCCTGTAAGTACTGCACAGACTTGCCTGGAGGTACTGAGTGTCCACTGTAATGTAGAAGTTCACTGATTTAATCCACGTGACCTCGTAGTGAAGAAAAAGGAAATGCTTATTTGCCACAAGGCCAAAATACGTGAGATTTGTAATAACCATGGAGGGAGTAAATAATGCTCATTTTCTTAAAGACCCTGAAATCTGATAGCATGAGCTGAGGAACAGTAATTCAGTCGTTAGGGCACCTGACAAATTTAGGTCCAGTTCTGATCTGCCACCAACTACTGGGTGATGCAGGGCTTCTCTTTCTCACCTATAATATAAGAGACAAGAGTGCTTGCGTCCTCCATGGGGTCGTTGTGAAGGTTAGTACGTTAAAGTGAAGTCTGCAGTGGTTAGAGCTGTACTGGTTCCTGCAATACTGGATGAGATGTGTGCATATTTAAGGTTAACAGAGGTATAGTAACAAAAGCATAAAGAAAGTGGAGATTCAAGTTGTGTGCCTCTGCACGGGGCTGCGATAAGGCTCCATCCCAGATGCACTGTGATAACCAACTGCCCATCAAATAACTTAGCCTGGGCAAGTGGAATTTTGCCAGCCTGTGTTCAAATAAATGGCAAAGATGTGAAATATCACTTCACTTTCCTCCCCTTCCTAGAAAGTACTCTACAAAGTGACGTAACCCGCGCTGCCGTTCAGCTGTGCTCGCCCATGCTAGAATGCATTGGTTGAATCAATTGGAGACTTTGTTATCCAGTATAAAGCAATATGTGTGTATTTGCCTCTTAGGTCATATGTCAGCTTTTTATTCTGATACGGTGAGAGGTCCAGAACTGGAGTTTATAATAGATACAACGAAGTCCAAACTGGCTGTCACTGGTTAACTCTCCTTCTAGTTTTCTTCTCATCTGTGCAGGTTCAGGAGGGGAATTAAAATTGCTAGTAGTTGACCATGTGTCTGCCCAGCGGCTTCAGGTAGGATTTAACTCTTAGGAGTTCGGAGCACTTTAGAAAGCAGTGTTCAAGTTTCTAAAAGGACATACGTGCTGTTGAAAATACTGCTGTTGATCCTGCTTTGGAAGAGATTCAAATGAACTTGAGAGTAAACCCAACCCTGCTTTCTGGCAGGGGTACAGTGAAACTGCATTGTAAGTATTGTAGGTGGAAAGTTCTGTCATCAGCCAGCAATATGATTTTATCTGTGGAAGAACCACTGTTCTGCAGTAGCAGCACATACCGCAGTGGCAGTGCATCCCCCTGGTTTGGCCAGCCGGTGTAACATGGTTCTGGGGAGGGAAACCTTGATGTCCCAGTGCTTAACAGGGTTCCTACGCGTTCTGCTGGTCTTGTTCCATCTCTGCCCATCAGTTCTAAGCACTGGTTTTCTCTCTGCTCAGGCGGATACTACTCATCCACTGACCAAGCACAGGAAAATAGCCTCTTCCTTCCGAGATTCATCCTTATTTGATATTTTCACACTGTCATGCAATTTACTGAAACAGGTAAGGAAACCGTCATTTGTCATCTCTCTCGGGCGCTGTATGTTGGGGCGACAGACTTTGGGCTGAAGTTCCCTCTGGTGTAACTCTCCTGGAACGAGTGCTCTTGTTCTAAAAGCTATGTTCTGGACTTGTGTTTCAGGAAAGCTTTGACTTGGGTTTGTATTAAGGAAGAAAAAAAAAAAAAGAATGTGACTCAAATACAGAAATACAACTTTCTTCAACAATTTCAATTGAACGTATGCGCCTGGACCATGAGGCTTGGGTTAAACTTTCCTGTCTTAAAGCATCAGGAAAGAGAGGAGATGTTTGTTTTACATTTTAAGTATCTTTGATTTACAGTCCTGGCAGAGAGGTTTCTTGTAAAGTAAGTCCTTGTCTCTTTCTTTAACCTCAGTTTAAAACCCACATGGTGAGAAAAAAAATGCTGGTGAAGATATGTTTAGTAGATTGAGACTAAAGATTGTCCTTGATGTTTTAACACATGATAAATATTAGACTGTCTTGTGTTCCCCAGGTTTTATCACACATGAGTTAACTTGCTTTAAAAATACTTATCCTGGGACAAGGGAGCAATGCTCTGCTAGTAGGGTTGGTTTTTACCCCCAAAAAAGCAGATTTTCTTTCAGCTGAAGTAGCACATGTATATTTTGTAAGCAGGTAGATTATCTGAAGAAAATTCCTGATTCTGCATCAGGTTTCTTTTCTAAAAAGCTAATCTGGAGTTCTAATGGTGCCTTCAAGAATAGCCCTTTATGAGAAAGTCTACCCCAATAAACTGAGTGGCAGTAGCACATATTTGATTAGTTTAACTTTTGTCCTTCCAGCTGAGTGAAGTGTCAAAGTTGACAAATAGCACAACAAATGAAAAGGAAATTTTCTTTTAAAGATATTTCAAAATGAGCAGCTCTGGTTCTGTCAGTAATAAAGGTGGGTACGTGGGTGTAATTTGATCTTTTTTCTCCTCCTGGTTTCTAAAGGAAGCAAGGCTTGTACAATCACGCTAGTCATCCTTTCCCATGCACCCATCCTCCTGAACCATAACAGCTCTGGTAACTTTTGAATTCATTGGCTTATTTTAGGTGCATTTGATGGTCAATTAGAGGTCTCGGAAATAAAAGGTTTCCTCTAGTTTTGTGAAAAGAAGCGCCTGGGGACGTGCAGGCAGGACAGGGTCCTTATAACTGCCCAGACTTGTTGGAGAACATTCAGCAAGTGCTTGTACTCGGCCAGGAGGCATAAACCAGACCTTGTTAACCTGGTGTCCCCAGAACTGCGCTCGTACTGTTGTCCTGTACGTGCAGCTCTGGCTGAGCTATTGCCCACATGACTGTTGCTGCATGACCGTGGGGACTTGGAGACTGGAAAGACATGGCTTGTCTCAGGAGGAAGCCTCTAGTCTTCCACCCTAACTCTTAATCATCTTGCTTTTGTTTCTTGGGATGCTGTGGTTTAAGACAGGTTGGAATGTTTTCAGTTGTCTCATGCAACATCCATGTTTTCCTGTGATTAAACACCTACTACCCAAGTTATGTCTCTTTTTTGTCTAATAGTAGCTGTCTCAAGCTTCTGTATATAAAGCAGAAGTTTCTAAGGTGATCCTTTCGAGTGGGGAGGATCGGGCTGCGAGAAACCAATGATCACGTCTGTACCCATGTCCATAAAACAGGGTGCGTTTAGGCAGCCTCAGAAGAGTAAGTCTTTGTGATACAGTGGAGAGAGTAGAGTGAGGAAGACATTCCAGCGACCGCTGGCACTGGTCTTGGCAGTGTCGGCACTGTGCAATGTGTTATTTGCAATAGACTTAAGCTGGAAGAAGTTAGTTTTGTTTTAAGTACAGAGTAATAATACAAAGGATAGACGGGCTGGCCTGTCCCTGGAGTACAGACCTGAGTGCTACATTTAAACTGCAGTGAAATGACCTAGCATTTCGTGTCCGTCGAGTTCTTTGTGTTACTTGAGGGTATCCATGTTTTCCCTGCCCATAGCAGAGCGTCGTAACTGGAGCAGGGCTTATACAGATCATCTGTGCAAAAAAAGTGAATGCACTCATTTCCATATGAGGGTTAGGTGCAGCAACAGCATTCCCTGCTGCTAAGTGCTTGTCAGGCAGAAAATATATTCTTGTGTTCAACCTTAATAAGAACTTCCTTATCTCCTGAATCTCACAGTATAATTGCAAGCTGGCAAGCCTGGCTGCTTTTCTCCTGTGCAGTACAAGCCGAGTGAAAAAGAAAGCGCTGGCTGTTTATCCATCTCGTGTAAAGACTAAGCATGTAAATGCACATGCTGTCTGTAAAAGTATGTGATGGCTGGGGTTGGTGCTTGTGGCATATGATCCTTATGATTGCCACATCCTGTTTAAAGTTGAATTACTGGCTCAAACGCAGCTGTCACCTTGGTTTTTTTGTTTTTTTTTTTTTACTTTTTTTAATCCGATGTATTTTATAGGCTTCTGGGAAGAACCTGAACCTAAATGATGAAAGCCAGCATGGTCTGCTCATGCAGCTTCTTAAGCTCACACATAATTGCCTGAACTTTGACTTCATTGGCACATCAACGGACGAGTCCTCAGATGATCTTTGCACTGTGCAGATCCCAACCAGTTGGAGATCAGGTAATCTTGCTGGAGGAAGAGGGCTAATCTACAGCATACCAGCTGAAAGCATGGGTGACTTGCTAAAGCCCTCTCTGTACTTAACAAACTTTTGCCTACAATGCCAGATGTAAAATCCAGCCTTTCCTTAGCGTGATTACAAATGCGGTTCAGCTTGGGTTGGCTATCTCGAGCTATAAAAAAAACTCCTCCGCCCTTTCAGTCTTACACCTGCCAATTCAAGAAACAGTAAACTGTTGGGGTTTTTTTTGTAAATGTGAATAACAAATAACTCAGCACCTGTTCCTGTTCTCAACATCCTTGCTGTTCTCACCAGTCATTTTGCAGGCAATTTCACAGATTGTGTTCTTTAAAATATTTTCCTGTAATTTTGTCTCAGTACCAAGTACCAGTGGGTTTACTTTATTTCTGGGAAAGGCAATTGTGTAAAAAATGTAAAATCCTTTGGAAATTTTCTTATAGTGTGGTACTTCGTGTGACAAGTACACATGCCATTGTTGGTAAGATAAGCATTAGACCTATGGAAAGCAGTAAATGGAGGTGTTCTCAGTAAAATGCTCCGTTCTGTTTCAGCATTCTTGGATTCTTCGACCCTTCAGTTGTTTTTTGATCTTTATCATTCCATCCCTCCTTCGTTTTCTCCTCTGGTAAGTTTAGTGTTTATTTTCCTTACAGACTGCGCTACCAGAAAGTGTTTGTAGGATTCATCCAGGAGACTTACTGTTGGTTAAAATGTCATAGGCTGACTTCAGACAGCTGCCTTTACTTCGGCGCTGCCTTGGGCTATAGCGACAAGAGGAGGCCGGTCTGGTGCTGCTGCTAGTTCCGATGCATCTGCAGGTTTTGGATTTGACCTTAAGAGAGCTTGTTTGCTGGAAGTCCAGCCTACTTCTTTGTCCTTGCGTAGCTTAGAGTCTGCCTGCTTGCTCTTCCAGTAAGCCCTTTTTGAGGGATGTAGCTTATGTTATTTCTACTGTATTACTAAGTTGATCCTAAAACCATGCTGCGAGTAGGTAGCAAGTCTGGGAGCACAACCAAGGAATGTAATTTTTCCTTCCACGCTTTAAAACTAGGCCATGTCCCAGTTGGATGAAATGGCCAACAGCACAACTGAACTAAAAGTTGGATGACTTCTTCTTGAAAAAAATTGCCTGCCGGGCATTTATCTATCGGATAAATATTTTTCATAATTAATGCTACAATGGAAACATGCCCTTTGGCTAGGAAGGGAAGGGTCCTTCAGAAGTGTTTTTTCCCGCTGAGACTCTCAGCTCTGTTCCTTATGTTGAAGGGTTACTTGCTAATTCTGAATTTAGAGCCTCAAATATTCATGAGAGACTTTAACAGTGTGAGACTCGTTTTTTGTTACTGAACAGAAGTCTGAAGCAATTACGCCTTTAATTGTCCTGCCTCTTTGATCAGTAAATGTAAGAGCCAGCAAGAATGAGAGGCTTAGCAGTTGAGCAGGTAGTCCTTACACTGGTCAGAGGGAACGGGGCTTTGCCTCCGGACAAGGATTGCAGGGCGCTAGTCATAACTGACTGCCGCTGCTCTTCAAAACCCTCTTCACCAGCCTGTTACTCTCAGCTGCACCCTTGGAATTTACTCTCGATTTAAATTTCAGAGGTTTGGGTTGAGAACAATTGAATTTTTTTTTTCTTGCCAGTCTTCTATCTTCTGCGATCCTTTTCCCAAGTGCGTGTTAAGTTTACCAGCTTTCCCTGCCAGTCCTAGTGTATTTTCAGTCTTACGCGATCCGTGTTCTCCATCTGAAGAAATCCCAGCATTTTTGGGAGCAGGGTTTGGAACACACCTTTGACTGTCAGGATGGAGATGTTCCTTTGGGTGATGTGGTTTTTCTCTCTGCTGTAATTTCTTTCTACGCTTTTACACAGACTACACAGAATTGCAAAGATGAAGGAGCTGTTGCATAGCATGCAAAGGAGCATCAGACTTAAATGATTTGTTGTGTCATGAAAAGGAAACGTGCTGTTCATTTTATTGTTCTAATCCCTCCCTTTCTATTTATTCTCTTTGCCCCGTTTAGGTTTTATCCTGCTTAGTGCAGATAGCCTCTGTACGCAGATCCCTCTTCAACAATGCGGAAAGAGCAAAGTTTCTCTCTCATCTCGTTGATGGAGTTAAACGAATACTGGAAAACCCACAGGTGAGTATTTCGGATGCAGTCAGTGGAATTGTGTCTCTGCTTCCTCTGCATCAAGTTTCTTCACCAAAAATACTTCCTAACGTACACGTCCCACTTGTGGCACTGGGGAGAAGGGTGCAACATCTTGCTGCTCTTTTCCTTTTCCTACCGTTCCACCGTAAATATGCGCCACTCGTAGCTGACTGCCATCTGTTGCGAAGTAGTGCTGTTTCTCAATTCTTCTCCTCTTTCTCTCCTCTCAGAGTTTGTCAGACCCAAATAACTACCATGAGTTCTGCCGATTGCTGGCCCGATTGAAAAGCAATTACCAGCTGGGAGAGCTGGTGAAGGTGGAGAACTACCCCGAGGTCATCCGACTCATTGCCAACTTCACCGTGACCAGCCTGCAGGTACAAAATGGTTTTACTTACTCTGGATGGGTGTTTATGCCCTCTGTCTTCTCTTGAAACAAAATGACAACCCTCTCGTCTGTTCTTTGCCCCTTAATTTGCTGTAAGTTATTTTTACCAAAAAAACCCTGCAGACTCTGTGACAGGATCCTGCGGTGTAGCATTGATTATTCTGTGAATTCCTACTGAATGGAACAGGAGCAGTATGTGGGGGAAGGCAGGGTTGCTATGCCTCCAGAGTCTTTCCATGTCCTAGCAGGGGGAAAAAAAAAACCCAACTTGTTAAATAAGGCTTATTTTTAGAATTATGTATCACTTCACTATTAAAATGCAGTTGCAGGGATTGCTAGTAATATGAATATCATGTCATATTCCCACCGAGTTTTCCACTGGTATACAGTTTGTAACTACAACCCTGCACAGAATATGGCTAAAAAAAATTGTATAGCTTACATAATGCCTTTGTTAAATTTTAATATTTATCTGGAAAACAGGTTTAAACTGTACATTCTGTTTGGGGAGCTGTCTGCAGCACGCTACAGTATGAGCTCGGCAGTAGTTTGGGACCAAAGGCTTTGGCTCAGCTACGCAGCCTAGGAACTCGGGATTATCTTTCAGTCTTTACTGAATGCTGATAATGCCCACTGAATTCAGGTGTGAACTGAAATTCGTTGTTAAAATTGGCAACCAGATCATTAAAGCTTTTAGATGTTGCTATATCTAGTGCTACGTGAGTCAAAATAATATGGGTAAAATAATCAAGGCCATAACTCACTGGTTTCCTTTCCTTTTCTTTCTCTTGGCTCCTGGTAGCACTGGGAGTTCGCGCCGAACAGCGTTCACTATCTCCTAAGCTTGTGGCAGCGCCTGGCTGCATCAGTGCCCTATGTTAAAGCCACAGAGCCTCACATGCTCGAAACATACACGCCAGAAGTCACAAAAGCTTACATCACGTCCAGGCTGGAATCTGTGCACATCATACTGAGGTAAGAAAAGCAGAGAGATGGCAGCACTTCTGGTTGTCGGCACCAGAGTCTAACGCAGAAGGCTCTAGTGTGTATTCTGAGTTTTCTTTTAAAAACGGGCATGACTGCAGGAAGTTTTGTGAGTCACCAAAGGATTTCTAAGGGAGGCTTACCTAAATCGCATATTCTGTCTCTTATAAAAAGAGATTTTTTTCTTCAAAGCTGTGGTTTTTTTTAGACCTTGCTCAATCTCAAATGGCTGAGATTGATCTGAGTGGTCTCCGACATGGTATAGGTAGAATTCATCTTACCTAGCATCACAGATCTGCAGCATACCATTTACACTCTGAATTGCCATTGTAGCAGAGAGGAATAAGTATGCAAAGTGTGATTCACTTAATTTTCAGATCTCTGCTCTAGGAATGCACAAATTATACCAAAGTATCTCCATTGTAGCAGAGAGGAATAAGTATGCAAAGTGTGATTCACTTAATTTTCAGATCTCTGCTCTAGGAATGCACAAATTATACCCCAAAGTATCTTTTTTTTTCCCCTTCCTTTGAGTGTAGGGGCAGCCTACAGGACTCTGTTGCAGTGCCTTAATTTGTGTGGGATGAATTCCACCTTGTGTGTGTTTGTATTTGATGAAAACAAATGGTCAAATATAGAAAAATAATGCCTCTCTTAAGGAAGACTGATTGGCTTATTCCTTTTTAGGTATCTAGCAGTGCAAGGGAGGAATGGCAGGTTTAGCTAGTTCTGGAGTTTGCAAGAAACTTATTGTTGAGGTTAGTGTACTTAGAAGAAAAGGCAACTAAAACACTGAGAAAGATGGAAAGCTTTCTTATACAAAGACAACCGGAGACCTTGTTCTTGGCGCTGCACATTCTGTTTGAAGACTTGGATAAACGTTAAAGACATAAGAAGAGCTTACTCATCCCAGGTCCTGATGGCCTTTCCACCTGAACTGCTACTGTTCTTCTGATTTACGGCCGCAGTAACAATCAGATGATTACGTCGGTCTGTGTAGCTCTCCATCGTGACAAATAGTAGAGGCAGAGACTTTAGTCATTGGAGTTGTGCTTAGGAAAGCGTCCTCTACCTGATAGAAATAAGCTTATGTTATGGTTTAAGCTATCTCTGCATTTTAAGTTATTTTCTGATCTGCTTTCTTGCTGCTTAGGGATGGTTTGGAGGATCCACTGGATGATACTGGCCTCGTGCAACAGCAGCTAGATCAGCTGTCCACCATTGGCCGGTGCGAGTATGAGAAGACCTGCGCTCTGCTTGTGCAGCTCTTCGACCAGTCAGCCCAGTCCTACCAGGAGCTGCTGCAGAGTGCCACCGCCAGCCCCATGGACGTTGCTGTGCAAGAAGGTGAGCACGTTTGGAGGACTGTGGCCTGTGAACTTGCAGTAGGTTGCCCGTTCTCAAAAGTACCATTTCGGAAGCCTGCATTCCTGGTGAAATCCGTAAATGGGGAGGCAGATCTCACAAACATTCCCTTGGAGAGGTGCCCGTATGGTATAGAATATTTTTGGCTGTGGACAGACACTCCCAACACACATAGCAGTCCTGGCTGAAGATACTGCTGTCCTACAACTGACTCTATTCCTTTTTTGGGGAAGTGCAGTGCATCTCCTTGCCCAGTCTTTCAGAGACAAGTTAGGAGGATGTTCCCCCATCCACAGGTGGTCAGCCCTGCCTGCCCCATCCCTCTGTTGTCTGAGGCAGGATATGGAGTGCTCATTTGAACCTCCCCGCTGGCTGTGTGGCAGAAATCTCCAGCTGGTGGTTGGTAATGAGTAACTGGGAGTGGGGTTTTCAGCTGGTGCCACTGTCTGAAGGAGGGTGTCTGTCCGCAGCGTTGGGTGGGTTCAGCATGGAGGTTTTGTACTTGCACAACTGGTTGGTTTAGGAATTGCTTAACACTGGCCATAAAGAAGCAGTTCCTTTGGAGGTTCAGGTATAGCTGTGTTACGCCCCCTCTCTAATAATGTAGCTGGCTTCCCCTTTCGTGGAGGAGATGGGCGCATCAGCACAAGTATGGAAACTGTTCCTTTTCCTTCTGAAACAGTATTGTCTAATCTAACACAGGTTTTTGGGGGGTTTTTTTGTATGTGTGTGGGGGCAAAACTCCATATGATGTTGACTTCTCCACCAGCCCAGTGGAGAAGTACTTTCCAGTACTTTGAAAGAATAAACGCTGCCTGCTGGCATCTGCATATGTTTAAATACATATGTTTAAATACATAGAATACAGTTTTACAAGACAGTGGCTTTCTGCAGTGGAATAGCTTTAAATAATGAAAATATTCCAGGCAGACCTGGCATTCTTGTTTCTTTTCTAGTAAAGTTGTGCCTGTTCTCCACCAAGTGGAAAATTGAGTAATTTTGGTATAGATGGGCACTAAAGCAGAAAGGTACTCCTTGTGAATCCTGTCTTTGCCAAAATAAAATGCAAATCTCGGCTTCCTCCATGTAACGTGTGACGTGCTTGGTTCTGATGTCCTCTGTTGGTTTCAGGGCGCCTGACGTGGCTCGTCTATATTATCGGGGCAGTGATTGGTGGTAGGGTCTCGTTCGCCAGCACGGATGAGCAGGATGCGATGGATGGCGAGTTGGTTTGTCGGTAGGGATGCTGACTGTTTTCTAGCTGCACCCCTCTTGAAGTCAACAAAAGAATTGCTATTGTGAAGCTGCCACCATGTTCTTCCCCTCTTTTCACTGAAAAGAACAGTGTGGAATTGGCCATCCTGAAAGAAGAGATTGGCGGCACTGGCTAGAGCCAGTCAGCAAACTTCTGCTGTGGCTTGGCTAAATTGGGAAATCTGGGTTATAAGAAAGAGAATGAGAGGGGAAGAGCATGTAAGAGGGGAATTATACCAGGCTTAAATGCATGCATTGGAGTAGAACTAAATGCATGATAGTTCTTTGCTGGGGTGGGGGGGGAAAGTCTTTTTCCTAGTAATAATCCAAAGTGGGTTTTGTCTGTAAATATGCTGTGAGTATTGTAGTTTTTCTATAGCTGTTAAAACGTTATAAAGTCGTCTAACACATGCTGGATTTTCGGGATTGTAAATCCTCTCCAGTGCAAGCTTTATTTGATGGATGTGAGAACATGTAGCTTACTACTCATGAACAACCTCGAGTCACGCTGCGTGCCTTCTGGTCCAGAGCCTAATTGCTCTGCTTGGAAGCTAGGGTAGGAAAAGGAGCTAAACTGGGAATGTATGGAAGCTGGCCTGCTGGTGAGCCGTGCCTAATAGATAACATCAAGCACTGGCTTCCCGTGTAGCTGATGAGTTATTGAAGGGGAAATAGCAAGACCCCGTATATATTTCAGCTACCTTTAGTGCCAGTGTATATGATACCTGTTCATAGAAGTCTATTTGTGTCTATTTACTCTCTTTGGCACTTGCCAAAAAGAGTATCATTGCTTTTGTCCCCCCTGTTCTGCTGCATGTGTGTTATTTACCCTAAAATCCCTCCACCCCTTCCCTGCCAGCAGGGTCTGCTCATTGAGCCTGTGCACCGGTCACAGCATTGTTTCCGCAGGGCTCACAACAAAAGCCAAACTGAAGTGGGAGTGTCGTTTAGAGTCTGGCTCTTGTGAGGGGAGCAGGTAGTGGTTTCGCAGGTGGGTTTGAGAACGTGATGGACCAGTCACTGGGTAAGTGTGCTAAAGCACCCGATACTCACTTCTGCAGCAAATTAAAACCAAAGCCTTGCATCCCTGTCAGAAGGGATATAGAAGCCTTATAATGGCCTTGCACAGAAGAGGAATGTGCCCTAGTCAGTGTTTTGTTACCAGTTTTGTCAGTTCTTGACCCAAAACGACAGTGCCCACAGAAAGTAAAAAAAATACCGTTGCACGCAGCCTGGAAACAACACCATGTGCCAGAAATCCCTCCTTTCTCCCAGTGTCCATCAGCAAGGTGTGTTTTTTCCCACCTCTTTCCAGGGTGCTGCAGTTGATGAACCTGACGGACTCTCGTCTGGCGCAGGCTGGGAATGAGAAGCTGGAGCTTGCCATGCTGAGCTTCTTTGAGCAGTTCCGGAAGATCTATATTGGAGATCAGGTGCAGAAGTCTTCCAAGGTAACCAGTCCCCTTTGCTATGTCTCTTTGGTGATATGAAGTCCAGTAATAGCTTCCCTTTTTAAATGAAAGCAAGTGGCATTACTTCTTTTCTCTTCTTTATAGCTGAAAATATGTAAGAGACCTGTCTGCTGTGTTTTCTAGATACATGTCCAGTGTTAACATTGCAAACCCTGAGCTGTTTTTGAAATACCGTGTTCTGTATGCGTCAGGAAGGAGCCAGTGACTATGACAGTAGCCTAGAACTTGAGACCTGGGTTCAATTTTGTTACCTGCCAGGTTTCTGCTGTGACTTCAAATGAGTTCCTTACGGCTTATATACCTGTGAAAGTGTGAGTCGCACCACCTAATACACCCATGAGGGGCCTGAGCTTAGCATCTGTGCCTTGCTTCCTTGGCTCTAAAGTGAAGATAAATATCCATTCTCTTCATTGCAAGGCAATTATAGGTGTACTGGACTTTGAATACCTTGGTGCATCTTCAGAGATGCAAAATATCTTTTTTAAATTTAAAAAAAGAAAAAAAAATGTAAAGAATGGGAACATCATTACTCTAGAATTAGATTCTCTTCCTTTCCAGTAACCTAAGTATGACCTTCCTTCCCCATCTCACAGACTTCGGAGCAGTGACATGACAAGGGGCTTAGAGTTCCAGACAAATTCACTAAGAAACTGCGTGTAGGTGCAGGTGGAGGAGCGCAGTTATGTCCCCTTTCCCTAGGAGAAGCAAGTGCTCCGGCTTCTGTGTACAGTATCTGAACCTGCTATGACTAGGGATAGAAAAGAGCTGGCAGCGATTAGGGCAAGCATTGGTGAGGATCAGATCACAAGCATCTCTCTGCATTGTTTGACTGATCTGGGAAAGCCCAGAGCATACACCCTCTCAGGCATGTGTGCCACGAAGGGAGAACAAGTGAAAAACAAATAATCCTTGATCATTACTTGTTTTGTTGACAGCTTTTAAACTGGTGTTGTTTTTTCCCCTCCAGCTGTACCGCCGTCTGTCAGAGGTCCTGGGGTTGAATGATGAGACCATGGTCCTGAGCGTCTTCATAGGAAAAATGTAAGTGTTCCTGCTTGCAGGCATCAGAGATTCCAGGGTTTATTTGAAGGTGTAACCAGAAAAACTGGAATATGAGGGAGTGTTGTTCAGTCTAAAGCTAGTAACATCTGGCTACTCGAGAGAATTACAGCTTTTATCAGGGCTTAAGTCACGCACAATATCCAGGATTGATTTATCCACCGTGGATTCTAGCCTGGGCTATGGAGACACAAAAATAAGCCGTACACCAGGATAATGGATTCTCTTTTCAGTGCCTGCTTAGTAAAACCAAAGTCAGAGAGGGGACAGCCTCAAGCACTCATGCCCTATCACTTGACTATTGGCAATCACCAGCCACGAAAGCTCTATGGGGAGGGGACTGCTCCTTCAAAGGTTTTCTCTGCAAATTGTGCTGTTCAGTACCAGAGTATCACAAGTCCTTTTCTTAAAACTCTTCCACTCTGGTAGGCACCCTCTTCGGCCTGTTCCTTGGCAGCTCTCCTCTGGACCAAACCTGTCGACTGGCTTTTTGTCATGTCTTTGGCAGCCTCCATTAGCATTTTGAGCCAATTCAGTAGCTCCAATGCTGACGCCCAGTGCCTTGTGCCTGGTGACGTGCAGCCGCTAGCTCCCCCTCGACTTCTTTAGCATCGCCCCGTCTTTATGTGCATGGGGCCTTGCCTACCCTCGCGCGCCCCGGCTGCGCATCATCCCCAAGGGGTGAAATGGCTCTCCTGGAAGAAGCAAGGGCTACTAGAATTCTGCAGCTGACAGTGGATGGTGCAGGTGCAGAATTGCATACGTCTGCATGTAGTCACTGCCGCAGAATTCTCTTACCCTTGCTGCAGAAACCAGCCCTGGAGTGCCACAGAATTCCAAGGGCCTGGGTATGGGCCAGTGTAGCTTGGGACCCAAGTAGTGAAGATTATCTGAAGGATAATTTTCTAGTCAACCAAATGTAAGTACAGTAATTTTATACCAATATTTTGTGGCTTGTGATGTCTGTGGTTTCGGTGGAGGGTGGAACTGATGATGTTGGGTGACTTTTGAACTGGAAGAATCCGCCGCACAGCAAAGGGGAAGCCGAGCAAACCCCTCTGATCTGTCCTTGTTGTCCTCTTCCCTAGCATCACCAACTTGAAGTACTGGGGTCGATGCGAGCCTATCACCTCCAAGACGCTGCAGCTGCTCAATGACCTCTCCATTGGATATCCTTTTCAGAAGAGCTGTTGGGTGCACAGAACACTTAAACCTCAGGATGGGGGAAGAGTGACCCAGATGCTCGGCTGGAACAGGAGCACTCTGCGTGTAACAGATTCCTGAACCGCTTCATCTTCTGGGTAGTGAGAAGAGCAGAGTGCGAGTGCTTGGTCAAGCTGTTGAATTGCAGCGGATGGCTATAATGTAGTTATTTTGATCATAATTTGCTTTGTAGCTTCCTTCCACAGTTAATTTGTTTACAGTCTATCTTACAGTCTTCTACACTGATGATGTTGGGTGACTTTTGAACTGGAAGAATCCGCCGCACAGCAAAGGGGAAGCCGAGCAAACCCCTCTGATCTGTCCTTGTTGTCCTCTTCCCTAGCATCACCAACTTGAAGTACTGGGGTCGATGCGAGCCTATCACCTCCAAGACGCTGCAGCTGCTCAATGACCTCTCCATTGGATATCCTTTTCAGAAGAGCTGTTGGGTGCACAGAACACTTAAACCTCAGGATGGGGGAAGAGTGACCCAGATGCTCGGCTGGAACAGGAGCACTCTGCGTGTAACAGATTCCTGAACCGCTTCATCTTCTGGGTAGTGAGAAGAGCAGAGTGCGAGTGCTTGGTCAAGCTGTTGAATTGCAGCGGATGGCTATAATGTAGTTATTTTGGATCATAATTGCTTTGTAGCTTCCACAGTTAATTTGTTTACAGTCTATCTTACAGTCTTCTACTTGTTCTTCCTGACAGAGTAAATAAAAATGGTCACTGCAGGTCTCTACAGTAGAGATGTATGCAACTTGGTTGCTCTTGAAACAAATGGAAGAGAGGCTAGAACATATTGAATAATATAGACATAAGTCCCCTTCCAGTTTTGCCCTGGAAAGTGCTTTGCAAGCATTGCAAGAAGTTTTCTGCTGACTCTGCTGCTTCCTTAACACCGCCTTTACATACAGTAGTGTTAGAAAGCTGGTGAAACTGAGCGCCGTACAGTTCATGCTGAACAATCACACGGTAAGTCCTTTCACCTTCTGCTTTTCGTCACGCGGCGAACTCCTCCGTCTGCCTTTGTGCAGCTGAGATAATCCCCTAATTTTAACACCTGGACACACTTTTGAAGTTCACCTGTCTCCCAGATGCTTCCATCATACTAGATGAGCCTCTAGAAAGCGTGATCTGTGTTCCATCTCTCTTTGTTCAAAGCCTGCCCTTCAATTTTGAGGGGCTGTAATTATGTGGTACCTTTCATCCCTGAAGGGTTAATGTGGGGGTCTCTTTACACTCCACTGAAAGACAGCCATCTCCAGAGTGAAATGCGGGAGACAGCTGATACTGCTGCACATGCAGGCAGACAGCAGTGAGCACTGTTTATGCAATTTAATGCAAAATATAACAGCATTTCAGTGCCCCAGCTTTCATTCTAAAAGTGCTGATGTGGAAGAAGTGCCGCCACTTGCAGTGGTCAGGATAGCAGCCTTGTTCCTTGGTCACTACCGGTATGGTACTCCCTGTGCGGATCTGGGTTGCTGACTTGAAATCAAAAATGTTAGAACGAGCAACTAGAAGCCAGCAGCAAAGTATTAGATTTCTGACTTGCCTCTGGGAGCATGTGGTCATTTGATGCTCCAGTGCTCTAGCGATAGGACTCCCAGCACCACATCCAGAAGGTTTGCATCGACTGGTTGAACGAGGCGCTGTATTCCTTGAGCTAGGGGATGTTTTGCAGGCAGTCCCACGTCCTGTGTTTGGCCCAGAAGCTGCATTCAGACTGCATTGTCTGGGGCTACTCTTTCTGTGGAGAATGTGGGCAGAGGAACTGGGGATCTGTCTGCAGAGGGCTGATTTTTCAGCAACCTTAATGCCTGAAGGGTCCCCATGAGTAAGGGGGGCAGATTGCTTCTCTGCTCTGGAGGCAAAGCGAGACTTCCTTGTTCGTCTGGTCCTGGGGAATTCCAAGATGAAAGATGATAGTTGGTATCTTTGCCAGTAGATAGGACACTGCTCCGGGGTGTGCAGGTGCGGTGCCTGTTGCCCTCTGGTGGCCTGTTCTCCAAGATGGCTGGCAGATGTAAAGTGGTTAGCAAGATAACCTTACAGCTCGCTGCTTCTCATCCTTGCGCAGGCTGAGAATTAGACAGGGGGATGAGGGATCCTCAGCCCTTGATACAGGAGCCCGTTCAAGGTGGTGGTTCCCCTTTAACCCGTCTCTTCTCTTCCATTTGCAGAGTGAGCACTTTTCCTTCCTGGGCATTAACAATCAGTCCAACCTGACTGACATGAGATGTCGGACTACGTTCTACACTGCACTTGGGCGTCTTCTCATGGTGGATTTAGGTACTAGGGTCTTTTCCTAGGAACCAGAGCAAAACTCTGTGGTTTGGATGCTGGGCTCTGCAGTATGCTGGGTCCTGCTGTTTAGGGAGCTGTAAGCTCCTCCAGGAAAGGATGCTGGAATGGGAAAAGCCAAATGAGATAAGAACAAGGAGGGGAAAGAAGCTCAAGAGCGGGTTTGATGCCATGTTGCTGGGTAGAGGTAGTTTAGAGGTGCACACCACCAAGGCTGGGGCTAAATTTTTCCTTCATAATATTCCAAATGTTTTCCTGATAAGGCAGGGTTTGTTCTAAGCCTTATCTGTAAGTTAGATATTGGCAGTAATAGATCACCTGTCTGGAAACCTGTGATCTCTCTGCCTCTAGCTCCGTGGGTGAGCAATGTCTGAATGTCTAGCACAGGCAGTACTGCAGGGCGCAGGGATGTGCAGTCTACTTCCTCCCGATTTCTTTTTTTCCTTCAGGGGAAGATGAGGATCAGTATGAGCAGTTCATGCTTCCCCTCACAGCTGCCTTTGAGACTGTGGCACAGATGTTCAGCACAAATACCTTCAATGAACAAGAGGCAAAAGTAAGTTGGGCAGGACGTTCCCTGTTATCCATGCTCTCCCTACTCTTTCCCTTGGGGGCTTTGACATTTTCCGTTCAGACGGACAGGAGAGTACAAGTAAATCCTGCAGGGTGAGAGGCATTCTCCCCTCTGAACAAGAGAGGTGGATGCTGGAGTGATGGGTGCTTTCCTTTCAGTATATGGGGAAGCAGTGGTGTCCCTGTATCCCTTGGGTCGAGGTGTAGTTCACAGCTCAGATTAAAGAGGGCTTCTGGCACTGAAGAGGAAGAACTGTCTAACCTGGGATTGGCATGCAGCACAGAAAGGCTGTATTGCTGATGGGATGGGAGGAAGGGAAGTGGCTCTGGGCTGGTGGAGCCAGGGAGGGAGAGATCCATATGCGTGTTATGTTTTAACGTATCTTTTCTTTTGCAATACAGAGAACTTTGGTTGGTTTGGTGAGAGACTTGAGGGGAATAGCCTTTGCCTTCAATGCCAAGACCAGCTTCATGATGCTGTTTGAGTGGATGTATCCTTCTGTTGCCCTAAAACTTGAGTCATCCCGTCTGTCAGAGGGGAGAACTCTGGCTGACTGCATCCAAATGCCCTGTTTTCCCTGCTAAATCCTGACTGGGGTTTCTCTTTGCTTTTATAGTACTCGGTGTCCTGTCTCTAAGCCCTAAAATAGATTTGACTTGGTCTGTCTGCAACCAGGTCAACCTAGAAATCTGCTCAAAGCTGAACTGTTGGGGTTTTTCCCATTGGACCTGAAGAGATTTGACCTGTAAAGCACAAAGGCCTTTAATGGGATGCTTGTGTCTCAGCAGCAACAAAAGCTTTCCTCTTGCTCACTAAAGCCAACAGCAGTTGGTATCTTTGTCCTCTTGGTGAGAGCATAGCTGCTCAAAGAGCACGGTATCTGGGCTCCAGATTTCTCTTTGGCTGGTGAAGGTCAGCTCTCTGTTGCAGTGACAGATCTTTGTATCTGTCTTCCCTTTCATTCAAAACCTTTTTGGTTCTGGTTTGTCCTAGTGTAAGAAGTGTGTATGCAACTCCTTCAACGGACCTAAGGGTTTTTTTATTATTACTACTATTTTTTTCTGTGATAAAGCAGACCCCAGCAAGCAGCATCTCTGTTTAACCTTGTTAAGTAAGCTCCTTTGCAAGGTTTGGGCGCAGTACACAAAATATGCCTTTTTGGTAGAAGTTGTGACCTTTTCTCTTCGTGCAAAGCAGCGAAGTTCCTTAGCTTTCACCTTGCAGCTACCCATCCTACATGCCAATCCTACAGCGAGCAATTGAACTCTGGTACCATGACCCAGCCTGCACTACACCTGTCCTCAAACTGATGGCTGAGTTGGTACATAATAGGTATGAACCTCCAGCATCTGAAAGCTGGCCGGGATTTGTGTCCGTCTGCTGCTTCAGCCTTTGTGTGGGTGTTGGTGCCCAGTTGTGTTTTCTCTACTTCAGTCTATTTATGCTATAAAGGCTGCCAAGGGGATGGGGGGGCGAAACTGGCATTGTTTCAGTAGGGAAGAAAATCTAACAGTTCAGATATCAGCCGTGTCATGACTCAGTCAGACCAAGATACACGATCAATAAACACTGAATTTGTTCAGCGTCTGCTTCCAAGGACAGCGCTGTAAGATGGAGGCAGGCAACTCATGTTAATTTTTAAAACCTGTGTTTAAAACGAGCGTTGTTCTATCTGGCAACCAGATGACCACTTTTGCTTTAGAGCATCAGCTCTTTTTGCCAGCAGAGAGGTACCTCTGACGCTATTCAGATAATTCAGAAGCTGTCTAATCTGGCAGTGGAAGGTTGCCAAGATGTTGCTCTGGCTTACAGCCAGCTGAACACAACCCTATAGGAAGGGACTGTTGTTACAGCCGAGTGGAAGGGACGCAAGGTTCAGGCACAGTCATTTGAGAATTGACTCTCCGTGCTGTCAGACTGTTTGCCACATCCGAGCGGCATCTTTGCAGTAGGACAATCGTTACTGGAATACGTCCACTGATTTATTTCAGAGGTGAACTGGACAACTCTCTGCGCTTTAATTGTAAGATCTATTCACTGTAGGGGGGAAAAAATGCCAAGTTCTGAATTCTTGGTCATGTTATGAATAGGAGCTAGTCAGCCTGCCCTACAATGCTGCTTCCAAGATGTTCGCTGTTTGCGTACAGTAGCCTAGTGACTATTGCCAAGTCGGGATTTCCAGCCTCGATCTTGTAATATTCCTAATGTCTGTGAAATATAGGCCCTTTCTTCTGCAACAGCAGAGCTCGTCTGTCCCTAAGTGGCTGTGTCCTGTCTGGCTTTGGTAATGAACAGCAGTATTTTCTACCAGACCAGGGTGTTTTGTTGAACTCTGGGGAGCAGCCCTGGGAGGAGGGTGCCCCAGTACGCAGCAGCACATGGAGGTGCTGGAGTATTAGCTTTGTTTTTACTCCCAGGTATGTTTGAGCTCCAGTTTATTCCCTGTCTTTCCATTAGATCCCAACGGCTGCAGTTTGATGTGTCCTCACCGAATGGCATCCTGCTCTTCCGAGAAACGAGTAAAATGATAACTACGTATGGTGAGTATCCAGCAGGTGGGATCCAGGCAGCCTCGGTCTGCCCTTGACTCCTCCGCTCGCTTGAGGAGTGAGGGCTGGGGCATTTGCCAGCTCGGAGAGCGAGCCCGGGCTGGGAAGCAGTGCCAAATCGCTTGCTGAATGCGTGCTTAGATACAGGGAGATGCTTCTGCTTGAAGTGCTGGGTAGGCAGACAAGCAGAAAGGGGCAGGGTGTTTGCCATGCAAATGAGGAAGAAAATGACAGCAACGAGCAGGAGCCCAGCTGAGCCCCTTGGGGGTGTGCAGGGTGACATGGGCGAACGTGTGAAGTGAGTGGAGAGCAATCCTGTCCTTACGCTGTCCTGTTTCCACAGCAAAACTACACGCAGTTGTGTTCTCCCATGGTTCCTAGTAGAGCCACATTTTTAACTTGTAATGAGTCCCTTAACCTTTGGTTGGGGAGTAAGTCTTCGGTGCTTGTGGCTGACTTCTCAGTCACTCCTTATGGCTCTACTTTTGTTTTTCCTGCACCCTGGGGGAGAAGGGGTTTGGATGTGGTTGCTGAAATACTGAGTCCGCTTCTGTGCTCATGCAGGAAATCGTATCCTAACGCTTGGGGAGGTCCCAAAGGATCAAGTCTATGCCTTGAAGCTCAAGGGGATTTCCATCTGCTTCTCTATGCTGAAGGCTGCACTGAGCGGGAGCTACGTCAACTTTGGGGTCTTCCGTCTGTACGGGGATGATGCACTGGACAATGCCTTGCAAACTTTTATCAAGCTTCTGCTTTCCATCCCTCACAGTGACCTTCTGGTAAGCCGACACCTGTGATTAGCAGTGTAAACATGGCTAGGGAAGGCAGGCTTGGAAGATTATACAGTAAAGGAATACTTTAATCACAGAGACGAGTGAACTTGTGCCGCTTTCTGGAACCCCAGCTATAGGCACAGGCCAGCAGGAAATTACAGCTCCTGGAATGTGCAGCGGCAGGTCCTGCGTGAAGGCTGTAACCCCACCACCCAAGGCCCCGCTGGGCAGCCCCACTGCTCAGCTCTCCAGCGGGGTACGCTCCAAGTCTCAGCAGAGCCATTACCAAAATAATTCCTCCTCTATCTGAAAAACACTTTCTGCGAGTGAAGGATTGTTCTTCCCTGTATTGCCTGTGGGCAGAGATCTCAATGCATCAGCAATTACAGTGCAGCCTGCTTGCTGAAGACATCCACGTAGAGAATCTTGCTCCTATCCAGACCTCGTATGCAGAAATCCATTTTGTGGCAGAGCTTTGAGACCCTATCAGCACAGTCCTACCTGGCAAAATACCAAGGAGAGAAGGCAGCATATATTCCTCCCAAGTCTTATCTGTCTTATTACCATAGCAGGATCTGAAAGAAGTTGTTCCCATCTCTGTGACGGCATTCAGCATGTTCTTGATTTAATATACTGGTGGCCAAACCATTGCTCTTGAGACACGCAGCTCAAATTCAGCTCTTGAGAAGGGGCCGCTCTGCAGGACTCCCAGCAGAATCCCCCCAGTCTGGGGGCTGCTGAGGGGTCTGCGGCACTGACTGCAGTGCAGGCTGCTGAGCCCAGCGCTGTGCGTGTTGATTTTTATGCGATCTGGCACTCTGCATGGACACCTGGAGAGCCATTCCTATCTCTGCATCTCCAGCGCTGGCGTTAGTCAGCTAACACTCCCCATTTAGAAAAGAGTGAAGCAGTGGGGAAAGATGGTTTGATACAACAGTGTTGGGAATCTGCTGGGCCATTGTTGCTGGAGCCTGTTTGGAAGGCTCTTGGTGGGGGAGAAGGGTGAAAAATATGTTGGCCCATAAGTTATGCTGCGAGAGAGGTTGGTTTGTTCTCTTTCCAGGAGATTCGGTAAGCAGTTCTCAGGTGATTAATGAATGGGTTGGGTCTAGCAGAAAGCCTTAACTGATGGTTACAGGCTAGCTACCAGGCCTTAAAAGTCTTTCTCTCTTCCTTTCTCTGCAGGATTATCCCAAGCTCAGCCAGTCATACTATTCCTTGCTGGAAGTTCTTACCCAGGACCACATGAACTTTATAGCCAGTCTGGAGCCTCATGTAATCATGTATATTCTCTCTTCCATTTCAGAAGGCCTCACTGCACTAGGTAACTACTCCTGCTCTCTGTTGTGCTCTTAGGGCTTTGATTTGGAAGTGGGGAAAGATTTTGGTTGGTTTGAATGCATGGTATTTCAGGCTAACAGCTAAGACATACCTTGTGAACGGGTGGAGTTTCACCTCTGTTGAAGCTGGAACATTAGAGATAGCGACTATGTCAGTGAGGAGGTTGCTGACCCGTTCAGGGTTAGGTGGTTCTTGCTTGCAAAGTCCCTAAAAGGACCCAGATAAATGGTGGTGTTTCCCTGGGAGCCTGCCCAGGTGCATCTGAGCAAGGGAAATGCTGGCAGTACCCCAACGTCTCCCCCTTTCCTGTTCTTGCAGACACCATGGTTTGCACAGGCTGCTGCTCCTGTTTGGACCACATTGTCACCTATCTCTTCAAGCAGCTCTCTCGCAGCACCAAGAAGAGGACCACACCTCTGACCCAGGAGAGCGACCGGTTCCTGCACATTATGCAGCAGCACCCGGAGATGATTCAGCAGGTAAAGACCGAAGGCGTAGGGCCTTGTTGTGGCATGGCACGGTAAACTCCCTGATAAGCCCTGAATTTTCTTAGCGTGATGTAATATGGGGGCTGCATGCTCCCTGCTCTAGAGCCCCGGGCTTTTCCAGAGCAAAAAGGATTTTTTGCTAGTATCGCATCTCTCCTACACATTCATCGTATGGTAGGTCTGATGCAAAGCCGTGCTTCAGGGCCATGGTTCTCCTTGTGCAAGGAACACCAGTTTTGCGTTTCAGATATGAAAGGAAGTAGCCAAAAATGAGCTTTTGTCATCTTTTTTTTTTTTTAAAGAGAAACACGGTTGTGGGCGGTGCTGGCAGTTCATAGAAATGAAGCCAGGAAACTTACCTTCAACCAGAGAGCATGTGCTCTTCTGCTTTAAAAAAGAAATCAGGGTTTGTTTAAATCCCTGGAACAATTCAGTGGTACATGTGCACTCACAGCAGAGCAGGCACCATGGGGTCCCCATGCTTAACAAGGCTCTGCGTAGACTTCAGCATACGGGAACAATCTCTCTGCTGCGGCGCTCGTGTTGGGACCACGTGAAAGCTGGGTTTGCAGCCTGTTGGAGCACGTGCTGCCTTGGCACCGTTCGTGCCTGCCTTCAGAACGGCCTCTGCGGGGTGAATTTGATAATCGAGTTTTTCACATGCTGGTAGCACATCTGCCATCTGTCTCCTGCCTCCATCCGCAGCACCTCTGATAGACACGGAGCTTGCTGGGATTTGTCTTCTCTCTGGGTCAGGAGTGTGTGCAGTGGCAGAGGATCAATAGTGAGCTGAGACATTGTCCTTGCTTAGGTCAGGCTTAGCTCAGCATATACCCACACGTATCGTGTAGTTTACTTACCTCTGTGTCACTTAATGACAGATGATTCTGCTCACAGAGGTTTTGGTGCTCCGGAGGGCCCTGCGTTGGGATCTGGATATCCATACCTTGTAGCAAAACACTTTTACATGCCTCTTGCCTGGCCGTACCGCTTTGAACAGCGGTGCTCGGTGCGTCTCTGACGGCGTTATCCAACCTCGCTCGCTGGTGCGTGTCAGCATGACTGCTGCGTGAAAGCAGGGAATATTGTTCCACCCTTGCAGATAGATCAAATGCAAAGAAAAGCAGGCTTTTTTGGGGCTAGAAGCTGTGTTTTCGGAGGATAAAAAGAGAAACTGTATCTTCCAAACCAGCTAGATTAGATACTGGCGTTAGCCTAAGGAGGCTGTGGAAGGGAACGCAGACACCCCTAGCGTGGACTAGAGGAAGCTCCCCAGGGCACCACAGCATGTGCTCTGTGTTTAAGCACTTGCTGTTACCTTGTTTAAGTGAAGATGAGACAATCCTTCCCCTGGCTGCCTTGGGGCAGGGTGGAGTGTCAGGAATAAATATTCTAACAGCTTTCAGCACCTCCTCCATGTGCCTTCAGTGAAGTTCTCTACCAGTTCATGGGGGCTCCAGGTCCTCCTCTTGTCCCATGATGCTGAGAGCTCTGTAGCACTGAGGCTCCAACACTGAAAGCATCAAAGGTGAATCGTTGCTCCTGAGCCCGCACGGTGCCGTGGTAAGGAGAGAGCTGGGATGGAAGGGCTGGTTTTAAACCTCACTCTCCCTCTTCCAGATGCTGTCAACAGTGCTGAATATCATCATCTTTGAGGACTGCAGGAACCAGTGGTCAATGTCTCGGCCTCTGCTCGGCTTGATACTGCTCAATGAAAAGGTAAACATCCCACCCTCCCATTGCAGCTGGAGGAGCTGTCTGGGCTTGAACGATGCTGGAGCCTTTGGGCTGAAGGGAGCAGAACGGTGTCAGAGCAGCTGGTTGGGAAGTCGGGACTGGGGAGATTGTGTGTTGAGGGAAGGGTGCCCTAGCCCTCCCCTGCAGCAGCCTTGGCGCTAAGGAACCCTATTAACGTTCGTTCGTAAGGGCACCAGAAGTCACCCGAAGAGCTGTAACGTGTTTACTCCCTCTTCCGAGAGCCTGTTACGCAGGCTCTGCCCCAAAGCCCAGGTGGCGATTCGTCTGAAAACTAACCCATCCTTCTCTTGTCTCCCCCAGTATTTCTCTGACTTGAGGAACAGTATAGTGAACAGCCAGCCTCCGGAGAAACAGCAGGCAATGCACCTCTGCTTTGAGAACCTCATGGAAGGCATCGAACGCAACCTCCTAACCAAGAACAGGGACAGGTCAGTATGGGCCAGAGACCCCTTTGCGGGGCTGAGCCCGTCCCGAGGCATGCTGCGCCCGCAGCTTAATGCAGAAGCACAGCCTGGAGAGTGCGTGGTCTTCATAGCAGCCTCATGGAGAACAAAACACTGGAGGAACGGGCAACCTCCGGCTCTAACACGCTGCTCTGCCTTTTCCTTAGGTTCACACAAAACCTGTCAGCGTTCAGGCGAGAGGTGAACGACTCCATGAAGAACTCCACCTACGGTGTGAACAGCAACGACATGATGAGCTGACGTCTCCCAACTCCACCTGTACAGAGCAGCATCTCTTTGGCCTGGCCCAGAGGGGTTACCGTTTCCGATGGAAAGAAAAGAGGGCGTTTCTAATCCCTGCTCTTCCCCAGGGCTGGATTGCGGCGCTCGCTTTGGGCCGTACTCCACGTCCCGAGGGAGGAGGGAACAGGAGGGGTTGTTGAGCTCACCGGGGCAGGGTGCTTCTGTTTCCGTGGGAGGGGGTGGAAGGGCATAAGCCAGGTGCAAGAATCCAGCGTCTCCCTACCCGAATGTCTGCGTGGAACGCCAGCGCTCTGCTGCAGCCTGCCTTGTATAAACATGTACATTTTTTCATAACATTTTGAACAAGGTTTATATTGACTCAGTTTAAAAAAAAAAAAAAAAAAAGTGTGATTGAAATTTTTACAGAGTCCTGGTGCACCGGTGCTGGCGTGAGGGTTGTGTATGCGAGTGAGGAAAGCGTGTCCTGCAGGCCTGAAGCTTTACTGGGCGAGGGGTGGGTGTGTGAAAGTGCAGAGATATATTTAGTGACAAGTGTAGAGAGAAGCAAAAAAAAAAAAAGAAAAAAACCAACAAAAAAAAAAGCATTGTAAAATTCCAAATGTATATTTTTTCTTATTAAGCCCCTTGAAATCACAACTTCCCGTTACCGTCTTGCCCTTGTTATTAGGAACTCTAAGCCATGCCGCGTGATCTTTCATTCGTGCTTGCTCGTGGGTGTCTCTCCTATCCCCCGGTGTAGCAGTAGGCGCTGTCCCCTTGTCAACCCGCTTCTCGCAGGGCCCTCGCCTCCCTCCCTCCGGACCGATGCTGTGCCGGGCGCCTGCCCGG